AAAAAAAAAAAAAAAAAAAACCCAAACAAACTTATGATTCACTACCATCTTTCAACCTTGACCAGCTGGTCTGAATGAAATACACTTATCACTCGGAGTGGACTTTTATCATTTCATAGAGCAAATAAGTCCTCGATCTGGTGTTTACATTATGCAGTCATCTGCCCATTAAGCCGGGAAGTTCTTGGCAGAACTGTGTAAGCCCAACGCGGAGCAGGAGAGTGACTGCATAGAGAGTAAAAACGGGATAAGTGGAAACAGGATCAAGACTGCTGAAGGGGGGTGGCTTTATACCCTTCCGTGGATTTTGAGGGTGTATGGCCGTGCAGTTAACGCTCCAACCGCCCCCCCCCCCAAACCCAAGCCTGGCCTACTTCATTCTTTCCCCTCTCAATGAAGGGATTAAGAAGACTCTCTAAGAGCGACCACAAGGGCTCTCTCGATTTTGGGTTGAACGTGGGACAGCAGTGGGAACTTGTGGCAGAGCAAATGAGCTATGAGCCCCCCCGCAAAAAAGAAAAAAAAAACCCTTAGATATATTTTAGCGGCAGGGATATTGTGAGCAAGACTGTGACCAAAAATCGGCTTCGCAATAATTTATCATTCTGAAGAAGATTCTGAAGCTGTGCCACTTCTTCTGTGGTCTTATGTTTATAAAAAAAAAAAAAAAAAAAATGAAAGTGCTGACTGCTTCACTTCCCTCGCCTCTTGTCTTTCAGGTGTAGCCTGACAAATAATCTATCAGGACGGTTTTAAACAATCTAAAGCACAAACTCCACAGGCAATTGTCAACAAAAAGGACATTTTGGAGATAACTGATAAGGCTATCAAATAGGCCCAGAAACTTGGATGACACGATTCAGACTCACCCACTTTTTAGGGAGGTTGCCTTTTTAACATTTTGAGTTTCTCATTCTCCTGATTTTACTTTTTAAGGTACATAGTATGTGACTAAACTAATGAACCCATGCTTTATGGGGGCATATTTGTAACCAGCATCACCATTAGTACCATTGGTGGTGAGAATAGGCAGTCTGTAATGTTTAGATCTTCACAAATAAGTAAAAGTCAGATGTCAAACCAAAGCCCAAAGTGACGCAGGGTCCGCGTTTCGCAACAGGTGCAAGTGTTTGACGAACAGCTCTGAGTCGAGCTAAACAGTGCTGTCTGTCAAATTTACGGCCTTATACAAGTCACTTACTGACAATTGTAGCATGAGGCAGGGCAGGTGTTTTTTACTCAGTCATCAAGTTGTTTAGCAAAGGATTGTGGGAGCGTCTCTGCGAACAGGGGCCCTTCTACTCCCCTGCAATGTCCTCAGCAGGGAGAGGAAGGAAATGCCTTGTGGGGAGGTGAGCCAGAGGATCAGCGTGCATCCTGTCTGCTTGAGCGGACTGTGTTAACCCCCCTCCACCCACCCCCCACTTGACCACATATTACGCCATTGCGCAAGAAAATGACTGCAAGAGAATAGTTAGGAAAGAGAAGGTCCATTCAATGAACACAGTACAAAAATCACAGCTCACATCAATACGATTAAAGTGGAGAGGACATGGGGGATTGAGTGTACAAACAACCATCTGCTGGTCATGAGTTCGATGGTCATTTCCAGATCATAGGGTGTGGCTATATTCGGGGGAAAAAAGTTATTCGGGCTTCAAATTTTCAAGTAATTGATCCGTTTCTTGTAAATTTCCAACACGTATTCCCACGATTTAGCTGCTGCTGCAGGTGCCCTCAATTAACGCTGTGCTCACCTGATAAACACAAATTAACTGTTAAAGCAAAGAAAAGCAAGACAATAACTAATAAAACTCCGGTGATAGAAAGTCACAAAACTTTGCGTCACACTATCAAAGACAACATCACATGCTAAGTAGCGAAACGTTGGTAGCCTGTTAGGACGGATGTTGCTAACCTGTCAGCCAACTGTTCTCACTCATACCGATTTACTCGTTTTGTTTGTGGGAAATACTTTTCCAAATCTACATATATTATCTTTATGCGCGTTGTTTAATCACAATGTCACTTGCCAACATTGTGTTTTTAGGCTAACGTTAGGTAAATAGCCCAAAGGCTAACGGTACTAGCAACCGATCATGAAAGCTCACCTTCAGTCTGACTTCGTACGTCGTGTGTCTACCTCTTCCCACTCCGATGGTCTCGGGGTTACTCACGTCGATCTCCAGAAAGTTACTCGGCGGTCCATACGCGTCATTTAGGTTCTGGGGCTTGGTAAAGAGCCTTCTTGTATCAGCTATGGTGTCTGCCATTGCTAGCGCTGCGCTTTCACGAAGCGAACTGGAGCGTCAAGCACACCTGAAAACTATTATGTACGTTCCGGTATAGACCTTCACAATAAATCGCAGAGTAAACGCGTGGGTGTGCGTCAAATAAATGCCTGTCCAATTCAAAACATTGCAACAAACAATTTATATGAATACGTTTTATTTGAGAGACTAAAATTTCCAAAAGTATACATTGAAAACCACACTTAGACATTTTGGCCCTCTTTTCCGGAGTTGACTATCTCTTATTTTGACATCTTGAAAAGTACTTCAACTTCTGATCAGCTGAGCGTCACCTGACTGTTGCCCGACTACCTGCAGCCTGATTTGTTAAAACCGGACAATTACTTGTCATACTACCAACACAAATACACAAAACTTTATTGGGTACGGCATTGTGCAGTGCAGTTATCAAAAAACGGAATGACAACAATTAAGAATAAAAATAATAATGCAGAAAATATTTTTCACCTGTCGAGGGAATTGTCAATAAATGATATTCTTCAGTATTTTTTTTTGTAATATTCCAGAAAATAAAGATGGAGTTTGACAATCTGCTGTTTCAGATCCTGTTCTTGTTCGTTTGTCAATAAAGCTTCTCCATTTTGAACTACAATGGCAGCCAACATGTTTTCCACAGCTCAGAGATGCGCCGTGACTTTTGTACCTTTTAGCAATATCCCGACTTTAACGATCATCCGTTCTCAAGTCGTCAGCAACACAATTCAAGGTATCTTGTAGGAAAATGGTCCTGCGAGTCGGCGCATGCGTCGGGTTAACAACAGCGAAGCCGCATTGTACGTAAACAGAGAAGCTTCGACAATACTCACGTGACCGCTCCAGCCGCTGTTTCGCTTCATCGCCACGCATCTGTCATCTGACTGTACATCTCTGCCAAATGAATCGCACATTTGAGGCGTGATAAGGATCCTGAAAGAAGAAGAAATGATTGCACCTTGCTTTCTCCAGGGCGCATGTCACACAAGCGGAGTGACGGGTATTGAGTTCAACGGTGTGCACTGCGCCCTCAGAATTAAGGACATTATTAACGAACGAACGCACACGACTCTCAAGAAGAGTTACACAAGCAAAGCAAGGCAACTTACGCGCTTTGAACTATGCAGCCAAGCCACTTAAAAATATCTATGAAAAAAACATTATCCTGACAAAGAAACTACAGTTACCTAATTAAATGGATTATTGGCCTAGCTGTAGTTCATCTTGCGTGTTTCTGCCCTTTTCCAAGGTTACACGAACTCGAGGAAGCTCTGTTCATCCACGTCATTCTCCTCACACTCTCCCACCATCGATTCCGGTGACACTGTCACCCAGTACGACCGCTTGGTTCAGCGTGGCTCTTTGAGGAAAGATGCTTTGCAGAGGTGCGTTCTTCAGCGACTGGCTCGCCTGCAACAGACGCTCCAAAACTACAGTAACGCTCCCTACTTGAACTCGCCTCCCCTGACAATGAACTATGACAGACTTCAGAAAAGGACAGAGTCCTCCCTTATAACAACTGGAGTATCTGCTCAAAAGGTAAATGAGATGAGCTCTTAAAATAGACGAGTCATTGGTTACGTTGAACATTACATTATATCCAATAAAATCGGGGCCCTTTCTATTGTCGTATTATCCATTCCACTGTGGGTGCTTTTCCCTGATCAGGCTGCAGGGCGCTCCCTTGAGGGCCTCGTCTGGGAATTCTTGACAATTAGATTATTTTTCCATCCTCGTGCCTTAGTCCCAACTGCAAAAACTAAAAAAAAAAAAAACAAACAAAACACATTTTAGCAGTTATTTGTTGTTGCTTGACAACTTTTTTTATCCCCTGTGATGGACTGCTCACCCACTTCGATGTAACATACGGAGGGACTTTGCATTTTAACATACTGTACTCCAGCTAAATTACCAATTGCGGCGGTGTGTCAGGGGGAAGGGGAGGGGGTCACAGGTCAAAGGGAGGGTAGGGGTCTGGGAAGCGCTTTCGAGCGACGCAATGTCGGGGGCTTGTTGTTGTTGTTTTTAGGTCAGGGGAGATGACTGTCTAGCGTTGTGCGCTGGGATTTTTTGCTGGCACCGACGCATGAGGTTAGTGCGGAGATTTGGGAAGGCAGCCGGGGGCAGACCCCCCGCTGGGCTCGTCCCGGCACCCCACTTCACTCTCTCACCAACTCCACGCAGTAATGAGAGAGGAGGGGTATCCCCATTATTTGGGCCTTTCTTGTCCTTTTTGCCTTCGATTTGGGGACTCTGACAAATACTCTGGTGTGAGGCTGACAACAGCACCGCCGCTGCCATCCCACCTCCCTTACCTTTCCCCCCCCCCACTCCCCCCATTCTCTTTCACTCTCACACGCACTGACTGGATAATTACTCCCCTTTGAATCGGGTCATACCACTGTCCGTTTCGGTGTCTTTTCTCCCACTGCCGCCATTGTTCTAACCAACTGACCAAGTCTGTGAGGAGAGTACACTTGACTTCATATTGACCCAAAGTGGCGTGTTTTTGCGGATGGTCAACTAACAATGGCCTATTGTCTCGGGAGAGCCATCCGCCGTTCGGATCTGTGTCGTTTGACGCCGCCGCTTAACTGCATCGCTTTTAGACTGCGCTTAAGTTGACTCTCAAAGTTCCAAACCAACAATGTCCCGCGTGTGAACTTTCCCCGCATGTGGCGCTCTCCCCCGTCCTCCGCGGGGAGGTGAGACGAGGCCACAGCGCGCCGCTAGACAGCCCATCTGAGGAACGGCCTTGTCTGGCTCCACTCTGCCATGATAGAATTGCGTCCAGCCACAACTCACGAGTAGCCCGCCACGCCAGCGAGCGCTTTGGGAAGTCAGGGAGAAGTCACAAACAGTGGGAGTGATTGAGTGACAGAATGACTGAGTGAATGAATGAGGAGAGGATAAGCAACAAGTTTGTTTTTCCATTTCGTTTTCAATCGGGCCCATTGTCTGCATTTAGCGGAGTCAAGCGCTCCTTGCGCGGTGGACACTGAGTGCTGTCGTCATGAAATAGTGACCAAATTAAAATTGGAGAGGACAACGCTTCCTCTTCAGGGTTCACTTAGGCCAAATGCAATGTGATGTTGCCTGGTTACCGTCAACAATACATTGGAACTTTGAAAATCGAATGTATCTAAATGAAATGTCGACGTTCGCATCTGTGCCCTAGCGACTTCAATGCGCCTGCGAAGTGAAAATAAATGTCCATGAAAACATTTCAAAGCGTTTTAAAATGAGGCCTCAATGGCGAGCCGTTCTCTCTGAATGCACCAAAAACGACGTCCCGTTCTACTGTCAACTGTCAATCAGATCGTTCTACTCTGACCTGGAAAAAAAAAAGGATGTGACCTTGTCTAGCATTTTTCTTATACCTACAAATGTCTGAACCACGAAAATGTGTCCGCCGGAAGCATCCGGGGGACTGGAATATATCCACGGCACAACAACAAGGCACTCTAAAGCGCCTATGTCAGCCCAAAGCCCCGGTCTACATGCTGGCTACCAAGTAGGACTCCTAAGACAAAAACTTCTCATTATAACATGCGTGCACTCACTGCGGACAACGAGGCACTCTTAATTGACCATACATCAACATTTCTAAATAAAAGTGGTTATGGCATGAGAACAGGATGTAACTGAACATTCATTGGTCAACTTTGGCGTGGGTGTGGGGGGCGGTGGGTCCACTCTAATCGTGCCGGTATTATTACAGCTTATAGTATCCAATTTGTTTATACACAGTATGAATTCACATCATGTGTAGACTGATGACACTTGCATTTAAATCACCGCGGCCTTTCTTCCACCATATTTGGCTTTACTCAGTATGCGCAGCTTGGTCTCATAGAAGCGCCTTTTTTTTTTTTTTTTTTTGAAGCAGGGACCTTTTGATGATAGGAGGCAGGCAGCACAATGACTTCCAGCGGCACCTCAATGCAACAGTACCGTATCACAATTAGCAGCGCTAAACAGGCTGCACACAGACAAGTCCAGTCCATCTCGTACGGAGCCTCATTCAGTCCTCTCCGTTTTGTCTGACAAATCCCCCCATTGTTCCTCTGATGATGCTTTTCTTTCGTGGGAACCCCGGCTTGTCTTGTTGATTAGATCCCCTTTGTCTTCCTCCCCTGCAGTGGGCTAGTCTGGAGAATGTGAAACCGCAAACTGTAGTGCTTGGCTTAATACCTCACAATACTTTGTTTATGAATCGGCGCGTCGTGGTTCTACAGTGACGGGTAGAACAAAGTTTACGGGCGGGTTGGAAGCGACATCCCCCTGCCCCCCTTGAGCTTTTATTAATGAGTGCATGCATGCATGGTTTTCGGGTATCGACATTGTGACGGATCCTGTCATCTAATCTTTGACTGGTTTGACCCCCCCCCCCACCCCACACACGACGGCAATG